ATGCAGACTTTGACCCCTTAGTGTTGTTTGTAACAGCGCAGGTGGTTGTGAATCCACCCCCAGCTCAGAATGTGCAAGTTCTTCTGGAAGGCCCGTGGCTGCAAAGTTGCAATCTAGCATTTCTGGGAAAATAAACAGCAGGGAAGAAAAGCTGCTGTTCACTCTGGTCCAGGTACCATATGATGTGAATGGACAAGCTTGCTCGTGCAGAGGCAAAAGCAGAATGATGGGCTTTCTCATTGCACCTCCCAAAGAGGCCTGGATATGCCAGGGATCCTGTGGGGTTAATAGAAGCAGTTTGCAGTTCCAAGCATGGAGTTACTGCCCCTCTGGATGCTTATCCACCTTTCCCTAACTTGTGTGCTTGCTGAATTATCCTATCTTGTTATCAGTAGCTTCTGCTGTCATTGAGGCTCCACTGACTATGTGTCATTTAGTGCAAGGGGGGGCAAAATGGCAGATCCAGCCAGTGGCCAGACTCCATTTCCCAGCAGCCCTTGCCCCTGTGACTGCAGGAGCAACAGTGCTGTGACAGCATGGGGCCATGACAGTGCAGGGCTGCAGAAAAGGGGCTCTGCCCTGGTCCCAGCCCCATGTTGTCATATCCTACAGTGTCACAACCTCACCACTCCTGGGGTCTCTAGGGAGACCGGCCCAGGATGGCAGGGTTTGGGCAGGGAGCTTCTCTGGGGCTGATGCCAGGATCTCACAGCAGTGACAGCGCGGGTTGGAACCAGAGCAGAGTTGCGATCTGCTGCTTGCACACCTGTGCCCGCAGAAGACGCGCTCATCACAGGGGCTTGCAGGCTGTGGATCCTGGCTCTGCTGCAGCCCCATATTGTCACCGCCCCAAGATCCTGGGTTCTCTCTGGCCCTACGTGCCCATCTCACTCCTGGCCTCAGCCTCATCCCAGCTGCCCAGCTGTGCATCCTGTCCACATGGGTCCCGATCATGGTGGTGGCTGTGGGGCAGACTGTTCAGGGTGCCCAGGCAGAAGGGCTGGGTCCAGCAGTGGCAGCCAGAAGGAGCTGATGCTGCAGGAGGTGCTGGGAAATGGAGTCTGCTACACGCCTGATCTGGCCCATGAGCTGGACTTTGCCCAACCCTGATCTAGTGGCATTAATTTATTAACTCCTGTTGTCCAGACTACTTTTGTGCTAGGTATGAAAGAAGACATATATGTTCTTTTATGGCATTCTACAGAGGGTTGAGTTAAGGTCCTTTGGAGGTGACCTGGGAGCTGTGGATAAGGGGAACTAAAGCTACCAGAATTATGGGAGTTTCAGCTGGGCCATCTATGACAGCATGACACATAATGCATAACACAGAGCCTATAGGGCCAGTGCACAACACTGCACTGGGGCAGCTATGCAACTTCCAATTCATCAGGTCATTGGCAGCCCCTTGAAGTTGAGGATGACATCTGTCAGGCTTGATGGTTCCTTAGCCTGATCCTGGATGTACACATTCTTTGGCAATGGGGGCATGTTGTTGCACAGGGGAGTGGGATTTGCAGCCCTGGGTTGGTCTCTTTCTCCTTCCTCCACCACCACCATTCCACCTCGGTATGAAGTTGTTGGACCTTGAAGTGGCATCTGCCTTGGTGGACCAGGTGGCAGTACGCCAAACGGTCAGCAGCTTGCTCCTCCCAGCCATTGGTGCTGTGCTTGAGGGTGACCTTGAGCATGTCTTTGTACTGTTTTCTTTGGCCACCCTTTGAGCGTTGGCCAACAGAGAGCTGGGAGAAGAGAATGTGGCAAGGGAGGCGGTTCTTGGACATCTGGACACAGTGGCCTGTCCATCAGAATTGATTTCTCAAGAGCAAGGCTTTGATGCTGGTGGATGCAGCTTCATGGATGACGCTTGTGCTGGTCCAGCGGTCCTCCCATTTGATTCCCAGGATTTGATGCAAGCACCGCTAGTGAAAGCTCTCGAGGGTCATAATGTGGTGTCAGTAGATGGTTCAGGTTTCACTGCAGTAGAGGAGGGCAGTCAGCATGACGGCCTTATAAACCAGGACCTTCATCAACTTCTGAAGATCTCTATTTTCGAAGACACATTGTCGCAGCTTGAAGAAGGTGGCTCTGGCGCAGCTGACCTGGTGCTGGATTTCTTCAGCGATGGTAACCTGTTGAGAGAGGTAGCTGCTGAGATATGGAAAATGCTCCACGTACTCCAGAGCCTCCCCATCTACGTAAATAGCATGAGGGATGTTCAGCTGGCCTGGGGGCGTTGGTGGAGAACCTTCATCTTGGCAATGTTCAAGGACAGGCCCAGTCTCAGTGAAGCATTGAGGAGGTCTAGGGTCACTTGCAAATCCTGTGCAGAGTGACCCATCACACAGCAATCGTCCACATGCTGTACGAATTCATCAGGTAGTACGTGTGGAATGGGCAGTGCCTTCACTGGACAGGGGGGTTGTGTTTGTGTCCGAAAGCTTGCAAAAAACAATTTTTCCAACCACTTAGTTGGTCTAATAAAAGATATCACATCTACCCAAAGAACCTGTCTGCCTTCACTGGACAGTACCTTGACTGACTAATATTAAAGCAATTTGCTATAGTACAGTAAAAAAGCAAAAGGGTCTAAACATGGGTGCAAATTGGCATCCCTCCTGATACAGCATATGCGTGTTACCAGGGAGTGAGAAATGCATTGACAGTATAATGTTTCAAAACTTAAGTCATTTTAGCAAAGCTAATTCACTTATTTTCAAGAGTACAGGCCAACACTGGAGGCAAAGTGAATAGTCATAAGGTATATTTTGTATCTACTTACAAAGAAAACATTTTGAAAGTCTTCCTATGAAATAAAAGTGCTTTTCAAAAAATGCATCTATTTCAATAACAACAGGAATATGGCTGTGCATAAATGACTTAGGCATTTAGAACCAGGTGCTCAAAGATATGTAGCACCTGAAAATGCAGAAAAATGCCTACTGAGATCTTCAAAAGAACCTTAGCAGATCAGCCATTTAAGTCCTGCTGGAATCAGTCTCAGTTAAGCACTTCATGTGCTTTGAAAATCATACTGGCTGCCTCTCTGCCTCTGTTCAGGCACCCAAGTCCTTTTGAACATCTGGTCTTAGAAAAAAAGTGTTTGGACTTTTCAAGGTATGAATATTTGAACAATGGGGAGGGTGGAAAAGTGCAGCTTGAAGCATGATGAGCTGGGTGAACGAGGTGATGCTGAGCAAAGCTGTTGACCTCAGAGCTGGAGGAGGAGAGAAAAGCTGAAGGGGTGATCAGCATGTGGGCACTAAAGGAGTCCACAGAACTGTGGGAATTGCCCAAAGAGAAGTGCCACAACAGAGCCCCAAGGTGGTGTGGGAGGGTGACAGTGAAGACTGAGACAGGAAGATAAAGGGGATGGCTGGAGAACTTGGCAGCATAGGATATGTGAAACCAATGGATCAGTCTGAAGGAAGAGAGAGCAGTCAAACATAGCAAAAGCAGTGGAAAGCTAGAGAAAGCAAGAGATATCCAATCTCCTGAGCCCTGTGGCTCCCTTGGCCTGGGCAGAGTTGCAACAAGAACAGTTGTACTCATGAGTCATTTTGGCGGCATGCCAGAGTGGCTGAACCTTTCAGGCTACTTCTGTGCAGCAGTGACAGCGTCAGCGTGTCCCATAGCAGCCTTGTTGCTAAGGATCTAGGGAGGTTAACATGCTTTGGAGGAAGGGGAGGAAGAGTAAGAGTATTTGCTTGCATGATTTCTTCCAGCCACATCCCAGCAATGTCTGATATAGCACAGCCCTTTGAGAAGGGAGCTGGTGGGCAGTTTCCTTCACAGAGAAAACAATTGCCAGGGGAAGGAAGGCTGCTGGTAGCTTGCTTGAGGGTTACCCAGAGTTTGGTGGGTCTTCACCCAAATGCATGATTCCTATTGAGGTGGACTGTCCATGTGTTCACAGTGTAGCATGCCTGCTCCTGCAGTCAAAGGGACTGTTCCTAGGAAGAGATGGGTTTCTTTAAAGCTGAAAAAAATACAAGGCACCTCAAGAAACTATGGTTGTGGTGACTTTTTGGTTTTTGCTGTGGGTTCCTTGCCCAGGGTGTGATGAGCATAGGGAAATGTTCAGAGGGGTTGTGACTGCTTAGCTTGGGTGAAATACCTTGCAGGCGTGTTTGATAACAATGGAAGACTTGCGCCTCTTGCTTTGTCTTGGGTATGCTGCACTCATGTCTCGTGAGTTTGTGCTTACTATTCAGATCAAAAAGTGCAGCTCCCCACTGTAATTTATGGTGCTTCACAGAAAGTGCCATGAGTTACTGTGCCCCCCCACCTGACCCACCAGACATTCACTGTTTGATGGGGGGCAGGATCGAGCTCCACTTCAGAGCCAATGCAGCAGAGGGAGGTTGTGTGTCTGCAGCCTCTCTCCCTTAGCCTCACCCTACATCCCAGCAGCTCTGGTGCTGTCGGCAGGATGGGAGACGAGAGAAGTCAGGGGAAGGGGCTCCATTCTGGGGTTTGCCCAGCCTGCGCTGGAGGGAAGTGAGGGGGCGGGTGGATTAGAGCTCCAATCCATGCGTCCTCTAGTGCAGGCTGGGCAAACCCCAGAATAGAGCCCCCTCCCCTGACTTCTCCCCTCTCCCATCCTGACAACAGCACCTGGGAGCAGGGCTGAGCTGTATCAACCCATCCCTGTTCCCAGGCAGGGACAAACAGAAGTTAATGAAGGTGCTCCATTTTGGAGTGCCTTCATCTGAACCCTCATTAAATGAGGGTTAATTTGTTGCACGACTGGATGCTTTTAAAGCACCCTGCAGTTGGGCACGTCTGTCAGCACATGGCTGTAGAGCACTTTCAAGGGGCCGATTGCAGGACAAATATTACTTTTGTCAGCTCCCAGAGATACAAGCATCCTTTAGCTATAAAAATTAACATCCATGGTGATTTTGATATGGGCAAGCAAAGCAGGGATGCAGCTTCCCAGTACCTTGTGGTTTTGAATATGGTTACAATGAAATAAACTTGTAAATTAATGTTTTCCACAGGTGGCTGTATTCTGGAAATTTTCCACCCAGTAGCTGTAATGCAGGCCACACATTTTTATGAACTCCCATCTTTGGACTCAGTGGACTGGATCCCTAGCATGGACCTGCTCTGCAAATCAATCTTGGAGCTTTGGCTGCAAACTAGGCAATGAGTATGTGATAAGTAGATCTCCTTCCATAACTATGGTCTGAGCATAAGAATACATTTGATTTTATTTCTAAGTTATTAAAAAATAGAGCCTCCAGCTACTGGCTTTAAGTTGTCTGGTAGAGTCTTCCTGTTCAGAGAAGTGTTTTTTAATTTAAAATGCTCAAGAAAACATCTTGTAAATTAATTTATTTTAATAGACAACATTTTCATTGTTTAGTTACATCAAAGCGTGTCTGACCAGAACTAAATCAGCAAGACTTGCCTGAAGTAGCTTGTAACTATATTGTATGTCTCCTATACAACGGGCAATAAACTAGCAAGTTAGAGCTCTTTTTCTTTCAGTTACATCATACTGTGGGTACAATAGTTTTGACAATAACCATTCCTCAAAGGTGTGAAAATCACTTAGTCATATTTGACAGCAGTAATGGGATAGATGAGGAGAAGAAGAATTACCTAAGTAGTTAGGGCACTGGTCTGGGACTTGAGACACCTGTCTTAAATTCCCTGCTCTGCTACAGACTCCTTGTGTGACTCTGGGCATGCCATTTAGTCTCTTTCGTGTCTCAGTTTCCCCTCTGTAGAATGGGGTTAATAGCACTGCCCTGCCCTATCGGCATGTTGGGAAGATAAATACATAAAAGGCTGTGAGGTGCTCCCACTGTGGGTAATGGGGCTATATAGGATGAATAGACAGATAGATGGTCATTTGGCAAAGTGCAGCTCTTCTTGCTATGGTACTGGTCCAAGTGTGGTGACGGTATTTGCTCGCTACTGACCATGATAAGGAGACATAAAACTCTGCTCCGACATTCTGCCCCTAGCATGTCATTATTGTGGGGATGACCATTCTAGTAGTGGACTGGCTTAACAGGACATACTTTACACTGGGCTCTGCAGATCACACCAGGGAGTGTTTGACCCTCAGCACTCCATTGCTCTAGAACTCAGCTCCACATGGGATCCGTTCCCCCTTCTCACTTGGGACAGTTCTGGCACATTCATTTCAGAAATGTTACACATGATAGGGCAAGCTCTGCATACAGCCAAACCAGCCCAGACAAACCACATTCATTCCCACTGCAAGTTCAATGGCTGTACCCAAGTCATAGCATATCTTTTGAACTCAGGATCACATGCTCTCTAAACCTCACCTGAGAAATCCCTGTGACTCTTGGCAAGTTGTTCTAAAGGTTAATTACCCACTGTTAAAGATCTCTTGTCTGAATTTGTCCAGCTTCAGCTTCCAGCCTTTGGACCTTGCTGTACCTTTGCCTGCTGGACTGAAGAGCCCTCTACTATTATTATCAGATTCTGTTTCCCCACAGGTATTTGCAGAATGTGATCACCCATGGGCTGCACTTTGATAAGCTGAATAGATGCAGTCTAATTCTCTTCTCTAAGGCATGTTTTACAAATCTTCAACCTTCTGGCAGCTTTTTTGTGAACACTCTCCAATCTGCAGCAACTTTCCAGAAGCATGGACACCAGAACTAGACACAGTATTCCAATAAGACCTCTCTACCCTTTCCCTGCCTTCCCATGCTTATTCATCCAAGCTCCTATGACCATAGCAGGACATGGGGTGCTTATGATAACTGATTATCCACATCATCCATAAGGCTTTTTCAGGTGTCTCTCTCCAAGATAATGCATTCCCACCCTGTAAGCATACCCTGAATTTTTGGTCCTAGACGTTCTTATATTTAAACATTAGGATGGTCCTAGCCTTTGAAGTGGGAAAACCACCAGAGCACAAGCAACTTCACGATTTAACAAATATTTGGGTAGATTGAGGACTGGAACACTTGCCATTTCTGAGATGTTACCTAGCTATTTCTCTACTGAATGTATCCCAAGCTTAATATTAGTTATTTTCAAATATGATAGCAAAGGGGCTCACTTCTGTTCTTGTCTTCCCTGCTAGTTCTGCTGTATGGGATAGTTGGCCAGTTGCTCCAAAGCTCCATTCACCAGACTTTCTATTAAGTGGAGGGAAAAGGTGTCATTTTTCTTACCTGGCAGACTAGCAACCCAAGGGCCTTGGCAGGAGCCCAAGCAGTAATATTTTATTTGCTCTGCCAAAGCTGTATCAGCAACTGGCACAGTTCTTTGAATGATGCAACTGAGGGTTTTCATGTGTACTGCATTGGGGCAGTCAATCTTTTGCAAGAGAACATAAAAGGTGAATCAAAGTGAAGAAGACTGGGAAGATGCAGACTCCTTCCCACCAGACAAGAATTGCACAAGGTGGGAGTCATGACCCCTCAACTCCTGGCTTCTCTCCTCTCCTCTGAGCCTTCCCAACCCTTCAGAAGAGTCACAAGTGTCTGCTCTTTTCAGACAACCCTCATGGTGTCAGATCCCAAGACATTTAGTGAAAGATTGGTCCCTTTTGAGTACAATGCTGGACAATTCATCAACGTCCATCTCAAGCTGGAATGCAACTCATTGATCCACAAATTTCCAGAGAAACAGTCTGAAAAAAGCCAACCTACTGTGCTCCAACACAAGAGGTTAACACTTTTTTGATTCAACGGCAGTTGCCTCATGCCTCCAAGTACTGCAAAGCACAGCAGCCAGAGAGTAGGAGGGATGAAGTGATGAATGCCTGCCTGCGTTCAGTCCCTGACCACCACTGCCTGATCCTAGGGAGGCACAAGTCAGGTCTCAGCACATGTGAATAGAACCAAAAGTTGTCAGAAATCCTCGCACAAATCAGACCCTGCCCTGCCAGAGCAAGGAATGTGTTCTCTCTCAGTAAGTCAGAATTGCCTGTAGATGCTTCCCTTCCCCCTCCCTACAGACTACAGCTTACTCTCCCCTCCAAAAAGACCTGTCACTTCTGCAGATGGATCTGTGGCTTAAAGATTGGAGTCTTAAGGCACCTCAAAACCCATCAATGAGCTATGGTAGAGATCATCTTCAAATTGAGAGATTGCTGAAGAAAAGATGCTCCCGCATCTCCCTTCCCTGATCATCCCACAAGTCCTGCAAAAAGCATAGGCTTAAGAACACCAAGCCCAGTGGTTGTTGCTCACTCATAGAAGAAAGACCACATTCAGACCTGATGGTCCAAACTTCCAGGCTCCCCATTCTCCTGCCTTGCCTTTTTATACCTGCTGCTTCAAGAAGGAATATGCAATTTATTCCAGCCCTCAACTGAATAAGTGAGATGCAAATCTTGAAACTTCTGGGACTTTTCCCTGGTGGCTGATACTCTTCTGGGGCCCAGAAAGCAGCCTGCCTCCAAGTTATGGGTACCACCCTGCCTGCTCTGCAGTGCAAGACCAAAGTACACTCTGTTGGCTAGATCCTGCAGCCCCGGGTTCAGCAATGTTTTGGGGCAGTGTCAAAAAACCACATGCAAACTCAACCTGCAAGATGTTGGCATGCCAGGGGCACATGGTGGGAGAGAGTTGCAATGGGCCTGAACCTTGTTGTGGCAGCACAGCCCCTGCCCCTTCCCCTTCCCCTTCGCCTCTATCTGCCCTGAGGCACACATGCCAAGCAAAATGTCTTCACATGCCAGAGGCTGGCTACCCCTGTTGTAGCCTAGGTAAGGCCCTAGCACAGCAATCAGAACTGTAAGTGCACACACTGCCAAGCATGCAGTAGTTTCCCCACCAGGGCGCTACATCACCCAATGGAGCCATTCTTGGTAAAGTTTACATGGATGGCCCCACTTGGGAATGTCAGTGTGGTGCTACCCAAGCATTGCTTCTTCCTGGTTACCTCTTGCTCCCTTACATGCCTGATTGGAGCCTCATTATACAACCTGTCCCTGGGCTCCCCTCTCTTTGTCCTCTGCCTGTTCTTTGGTTGAGTGCACCTTTGTCTATAGCACACTATTGCCCCTCTTCAGAACTCTCCCTCATCTACCAGCTCAGCTCTGCTTTTGCACTCCTTTGCATGCTTTTCTGCCTGCAATCCCGTATGACCTCACCAATGCTTCCTTTTCCTGCACAGCACACTTCAGTTTTCTGTTCCTCCATCATACAGGGCTGCAAACCCACACTGTATGGAGCCCTCCTCACATCTGGGTAGTGTCCTGCTACTGCCTTTCTTTTCTGGACCAAATCTTCAGTGTCACCATTGTAACAGCTCAAGCCTTCAAACCTCTGCCCAGTTGCTTCCCTTGCAGAGCCCTGCTCCCTTACAGCTGTGGACTCCCTTCTCTTGAGCCCCTCAACATCCTTTATAAGTACTTTCTGTCAACAAACTATTGTCTACCTCTATTTTTGTCCTTGTGCTTCTTTTTCTATACTGTCCCAACAGCTCCCGAGTCTAAGAAAGTGTTGGAGTCACTCTTCCTTTGGTATAATAAAGTATCAGTCACTGTCACTTTCTGAAGAATAAATAAGAGCGATTAGTCCCTCTCTGTAAGACAGACATGTCCATTGTGCTGAATCCACTTCATCCTCTCCATATCCTGCACAGGTTAGCTGGAAGAATATTAAAGCATGAAGCTCAGGCCTTAGTCTGTAAGAGTTACTCTTTGGAGTAGAGCTGTGAGCCACTTAGGGCTCAGACACAAGTGCAACTCCCTGCTGTAACTCATGGCACCTCGCAGGAAGTGCCATGAGTTACAGCAATCCCCTGAACCCAACCAACATTCGCTGATGGGTCCCAGCAGTTGGGAGATCAAGCTACAGTTTCAAGTGGCTGCAAGTGCAGCCACTCTCCCCCCTCAACCCAGGTGCTGCCTTCAGAATAGGATGGGGGAAAGGGAGTGGGAGGGAGCTTGTTCTGGGGGCTGCCTAGCCAGCGCTGGAGGGTGGGGCAGGCGGATTGGAGCCCTGCTTCTGGCACGCACTAACGTGAGTTAATGAAAACGCTCTGCTTTGGAATGCCTTCATCTGAACCTTCACATAATGAGGGCTCAGATTGTAATGGGACTGGCCCCTTTTAAAGTGCCCTGCAGCCATGTGCTTCTTTAACAGCACAGCTTTAGACTGCTTTCAGTGGCTGATCACAAGACAAAATGTCCCTTGTGTCAGTGGTCTTAGTTCTCCTGACTAGATTTGGGCTTGGTTTGTCTCTGTGATGACCCTGCATGCCTAGCATGTGGTTTATTTCCACCCCTGCAAATGCATTACCTTCATGTCTTCTAAGCTGAAGCTCATTCTTATTTTTTGGCCTATATCACCACCACATGTTAAACCCCTCGTATGGCTTTGTTCTTTCTTCTCATGCCCACCCCTAACACTTCATCCAAAATTCCAGACATCTCTCCCAAAAGGGCCTAATTTTAAACTTAAGCAAAACAACACATCACCACCAGTTGAAAGTTTTATTCATATAAAATTCGTTATTAAGAACATAAAAGAATTGCATCTTAAAAAATATCTGCAATTATTTACAGCAGTATTGCACAAGTAATGTGGCAATTACCCTGTCAAAAATTCATCAGTGCAACACGAGTAAGCCAGGGAAATTGCAATAAAAATGCTACATATGCTGGGTCCTATGAAACAAGTTAGTGATTAATCAGTACAAGATCAGTGCTATAGTTATATTTGTACCTGATGTTAAGGCAATTTGATACAATAACTAGCAGTTTTGAAAGCAGGGTGCAAAATTTATTCTTCCCTAAAAATAAAAGTAGTTCTATTAATAACTTGCAGATGCTTTTCATTTATGAGGTAATAGCCATATCCTGCACTCTGTAAACTGAATCTGAAGGACAAAGATGTTTAATAGCCCATAATTATTGAGTTGAAACACTATAAAGATAGTGTACTGAAATGTACTGCCTGAATCTTACTTTTATCATCTGGATGGGGAATAAGGTAGACTGTGTTCATTGTGGGCACACAGACTTGGGTGAGAGTTAAAGGCAATGGGGATAAGAGGGTGGAGACTTGCATTTTGCAGAGAGCCTGAAAAAGTTACTAGCTCACACTATCTCAGTTCAATAAGCTTTGAATAAACCGCCCTCAGCCTCTAGGATTTAATCATGCTCTGCTTAAAGGGATAAGATTGTTTTTGATGAATTGACACTTAGGAACTACAGAGCAACATGCTAACTTGCCACTCCACAGGGTATTTTATTTGAAGTTTGTCTTAATATCATTGAGCTGAATGGCTGAGCCCAAAAAAGGTGGCCAAGTTGTAGGGAAAGAAATGAGTCCCTACGTGGTAGAAATATTTTTCAAAATCCTAAACAAAAGAAACTCAAATCCCACCGACTCTCAATGGCACTTAGGCTCCTTTGTGCCTATGTGACTTGAAAATTCTACTTTGTAACTAGACTTTACCGATTGCACTGAACGAGACAATGCTGTAAACTGATCAATCACTAATTCCATATATACACCAGTAAATTCAGAAAAAACAAACTTTACAGGAACTTAAATAAGCAGAAAATAAATATACAATGTTTCTACAAGTTACAGCATTACAAAACAGTAGAGTGCATTAATTACACAGAAAAAGGAATCTACAGTATTTATGAAGTCCAATTCTAAAAAAAGTGTAGAAAAACAGTAATTTTTACTTATTTATATGTACAAAATTTTTACATAACATAATAAGAAAAGAAAGGAAACATTGCACACAGACATTTGGCTCAGATAGTGAAAATAATGTTGCCCTAATCTAATAAATACTCAAATATTTACAATTATTGGTGGGTAGGGGAAGCATACTACCTTTTAACGCAAGTTTTTTGCGGTAAGAGATTTGAATCTGGTTTTTCCAAAACCAAAGACAATTCTTCATAAAATAGTTTTGGCAGGATACATGAAGTAAGGATAATAGAAAATTTAAAGAAATCATTTGATTAGCCAACTAACAGCACAGGTAAAATGATTTTTATAGACTTTTAAATGTCATGTTGTAGAGATCTTTAAAAAAAACCAAAAACAAACAAACCCACGCATCTGACCTGGCAGAAGGGTTGTCAAGGCACAAAACCTGCTTTTACAATTGCCAAAAACAAAGGGAATAGTTTTAATTTTTTGAAGGTATACATACTGTATTAATTTCTATAGGAAACATCTTGATAAACAAGTGAGTGCAGAGAAGTCCAATTTCCATACATGGTATGAAAATATTTTTTAAATGTTCATATAATTAATTGAATTCTTGGCTGCTTGCAGACATTAACAAAACAAAACAAAACACAAAAAACCATGCTTTACCAGAAACAGCAGCTCGTTTCTTTGATCCACCTCCACAACGTCTGTAATAGACTGGGCACTTCAGCAGGGCTTTTATCTAATAGCTGATTCAATCATAAAAGCCCTGCTGAAATGCCCAATCTATATAGACATTGGGTAAGTTGGGTCCAACTAATGCACTGCTTCTTCTGGGCACGTGCTGCGCTTGGCATTGAACTATGTCAAGTTCAAAGTAACATGCAAGGGGAGGGGGATACTTTTTAAGTTCTGCAAGCAGCCCTTAAGATTATTTCTAAGGTTTACAGGAAGCTAGCTAGTTTGAAGCCACAGTATAGAGGCAAACCTGTTGCAATACCATGCCAGAGGTAAATGTTCAAGAAAAGCACACAAGTCTCCAGGCACTGGGCCAGCAGAGCCTCATTGAAGGGGAGCATGCAAGACTCAGGGTGATGGAGGCAGAGGAGAAAGGGCACAAATCATGGGGAGAAATTATGCTGACATTTCTGAAGACTCTACATTTAAAAAGAACTCCAGAAGTGTTCCAACCATAGAAGCACATGTTGCACTGAAAACGGTTTCTTTGGTATGTTCAGAAAGATACATATTGTAAATAAAAGTTTCAAGCCTGTTTACTTCAGGTCATCATGGAAACCCAGTAAATGATGTGGTCTTAACTAAGGAAGTTTCAAGACAGTAACAGCTGGAACTAGATGATTAGATCTAATGGTTTCAAGTTCAGAAGATGACCACAATACCTCTTGCTTTTTGGAAAACCTGACTTCTTGCTAATCCTTATAATGGCTATGAGACCCCAGCGTGTAAGCAGTGTTTAAAATGGAAGAGCAATGAATTTATATGCTCCCACCCCCCCAGTAACATGGATGATAATCTCCGATTAGGAACTCTGGAGTTCTGCCTCTGAAACCCGATATTTGAAAAGACCACTTCCCTCAAAAACTTTAAAAGTATCAAATAAACCCATTGCTTTGATAACTGAAACTAACATCCTTGGCCTACAAAGCCAAAGTGTGTTTTTACCCTCTTGATTCACTGCACTCTGGAGTCTGCTAGCAGAGCCATGTCTGGACTAGAAACCTTTTACCTAGCACAGATAGGCACTGGCGGCCAGTGCATAGAATACATATTATACAAACTCATTACAATTTTTAAAAATATACACACACACAATGGTACATTGAATGGCTTCTCCTGATAAATATATTGCAACATTTTGGAAAAATATCTATCCCATTCTTTCTGGGGTGTTGATGAAACCAGAAAATCTGTGGCCTTCTGAAGTAGACTGTAGCAAACAGGAACCGAATGAATCACTCATGCAGGCTCTTGGCACTGGTCACAAGGCGACAGACAAACCTGAAGACAGACTAGGGCAAATTTATGCATAAATGCACTCCCTCTGTATAAAGGAACTACACAGCCCTCGAGCACCTGTCATACAGTTTCCTGTTGCATTAAGAGGTGAACCACAAAACAAAAGAATACAATTCAATTTAGTCTAGATTTGTGGCTACAATGCCCACTCAGCAAGTTCTGGGTGGTGTTCAGCACATGTTTTAACTTGTCTCCCTCTGACTTGCCCTCCACCCCCAAAATAAAAGCTTTTCCTTTTTATGAAATCTTCCTCTTACTTCCTAGTTCACTTAAGTTGTAATCAAATGCAGCATTCTGTTACATCACAAATGCCAGCTCTTGCCACCCATAGCATCACAGATGTATCATTTTGGAATAACTTCTGCAAACTATTGGGGAGTACTAATGGAGCGCTCCACACAAGAAGTGTTTAAAGGAAAAATATGCTAAATCTTATGTCTGTGCTGAACACCTCCCCAAATCCAGTGAATAGGGATGCCAGGTCCAGGAATCTTATGTCAACTTAATTCTCTTGCACGTTCATCCTCAACACTTGTGTCCTGTGAAGAATATAATCAATTCTCCACCATGTATGTATACAATGAGTGCTTTTACAAGTATATACCATTTTAAAACCTTATGTGGGAATTCTGCTGTGAACAGTAGTATCTTTCAAAATGATACAACTTTTGTTCCTGTTGGGTATCTGCTTACTAACCTTTTGGACTTTGAACCACCATGATCACTGCAGATATTCCACTTTTGGTCCTCATGCCAATGCAGTAAAGTCAGTAGTCCATGCATTCAACTGTTACAGCTGTTTGCTTCTCACCTCTCTTCAAAACATGCCTTCAGCACAAATCCAAAAAGTTTTTAAAACACCCAAACACCATCAACTGGGTTTATTAACAATAACTGTAAAATATTGAGTGAGGTTTCAAATATTTCCTGAAATTATGCAGTAGGACCCTTCCCTTTTGGGCAAGACTGCAGTGTATTGGGTCTGTTTAGGCCCACACACAGAATATGTTATTGCTTTAATCGTTCCACATCTCAAACATTAATATATTATATATATTATAATACATAAATGTATCCATACACATTTTATATAGAGAACTTTAAGAAAGGCAACCTGGTATGTTTTTGGAACATGACATTTTTACAATGAAGCCTCAAATTTCAGATCAACTTCGAGATTCTGGTTTCTAAGCTGGCGGAGGTGGACAGCCAATGGCAGGAGAGCTCCAGCTGTGCTTGACTGCAGCCTGAAATTAGCAAGACACATGCTGTTTACGCCACACAAGTGCAGTTGAATTTAAAGAGGTGTTAAGTGACCTGAAGGATTATGGAGAGCCAATGCAAATCCCTTCATTCTTTTGAATGAAAGTGACCAGCGAATGAACAGAGAGAACCTATTCTAAGTCTGACCTCTCCTTGCTGGAGCAAGAAAGCTGTACAGCAATTTTATAAAATAAACTCAGGCAGCTCTGCAAGTCAGCCGGCTCAGTTAAGTCCGCTGCAGCATGATGCAGATCAGCCTACCAGTTTCCAGAAGTGAGCAGGAAAATCATTCAATAATGGTTGAATATTTTCCTTAATCTCAGTCCATAAAAAGTTCAAGGAAAACCAGCGTAAACAACACTTTCAAGAAAAATTCTGCTTCAGGAAGTTCAAATAAGTCCATTTCCACAGTTCATTTCTGCTTCTTCACAGTGAACTCCCTGTTTTGTCTGACAGCAGACAAAACTATAGGTCCATGTGCATGTTTTTACAAGCATGGAGTCCCACTGCTCCTTCCAATATGTGATGTTCTTTAAGAAAAGGAAGATTTCTCAAATGTATTATTAGCATGCACTCCTCTTGGGTTCTGACAAGTAAACAAACCTCAGAGCATCCAGTCAGTGTCAATCACTGTCTTCTCCAAATGAGGCGGATGATATAATGCAAGAGGCGCAAAATAATCTGGTGATTTACTCCTTGGTTATCCCAGAAGCCCTGCAAAAAAGAATTTAAAAGTTTATTTTTCCACTGAAGGTTCCAATCCAGAAATGTCTATTACTAACATACAAACCAACTCATTGGGATGGAGCGTTCTCAGCTTAACAGAAAAATGCAAGATAATGTTAACAGAAAAGCTGGTAGAGAACAATTCAAAAAAATACTAAGCTACGTACTTGCAATTTACCTTTTTAAAAAAATCAATGCATTCTTTCTACATTATTGCAGTGATTGCGAAAAGGAAGACAATACTGAAGAGTATAAATGACTGTTCTTGTTTTAAAACTGGTCAGATACAGTTAACACGTTCCATTTCAGGAAGTGGGACATGCTAAAAGCACCAGAGCATATTAACTTCATACCTATTCCAGAAAAAAAGGGACTCCTTTCTACTTCCAAAAAACCCCCAGTAGAACCACATGCCCCTTTCACTCTGAACCACAGCAGCAACCACTAGGTTCTATTTAAGCATATTCCACGGTGTTCAATTAACTGACATGGAGTTGATTGTAAGGTTTGCTACAGCAAACAAATGGCATATAATTTATGGGATTTGGTACAACTGAAAAAAGAAAAAAAGTGGATAAAGCCATGAGCATGGTATTCTCAGAGTATAACTGTGTCGCTGTCTTGAGCTACTGACTCTAAAAATGTTTTAGATTCCTAAAGAGTGGAATCTGGTAGCTGTAATTTAAGGAGTCAGTGATTTGGTGCAATTTCTGTGAAGAATCTAAATAAAGATGACCAAGATGTGCTAAAACTAATAAACTGGTGAGCTTCTGGTAATTCTCAAGTGACTCCACCTGTGTAAACATTGTTTGGTTAGGTTTTGATGCACAGAATACGAGGAGAGGTGTCTGAATGCAATTCTGCTCCTTTTACCTGGAAGCACATAAAAGAGTCTTATACAAAAAAAATGTAAAAAGCATTTTGCACTTGATGTTGATTACATTGAACCACAGGCAAGTTTGACATATTACAAGTCAGGAAACGGAGGTGGCTGGCTTGACACAACTGATCATGTGAAGAACTGGGTTTGTACATCACTTCCATTGCATGAGACTTGCATTTGCAACTTGGAGTAAGTAAACAGATCATACACACACAAGTTCATTTTTTCAATAAAAACACACAAGTTCATTTTTTCAATAAAAACTGAGATCAACTTTTTCATTGTCTTGACCTACAATCTGAGATAGTTATTTCATTATTATCACTGCCCTCCATATGAAGCCAGCAGTGTTATGGAATGACACAAGCCAAGTAATACAGCCTCTAACAAGCACTGCCCACTTCATCTGCCCACTTCATCCAGGCCAAGGAATCTTCTAGTCAGTGACAATCAATGCTGATTCAAACAGTTGGCACTTCTAGGGTGTAGAGAGACATTGCAGACTTTGCACTCCAGGTACTGGGGCTACTCCCAGCACCTGGGGTGCTCCAGGCAACAGGGCTTTTAGCACCTGGCACACTCCAGCACCAATGCTCCCTCTACTTTGGCACTGATGATTCACTTGCCTCTGTTCAAGGATTGCTTTTGTTCCAAGTTTCAACACTGGTTGGTCTTGCAATTACTTCAATAAGCTTATGGTTATTTTGAACTCTGGCAGCCAAAATACAAACAGTTTCCTAGAGGACAGCTTAACAAATTTAGCCTCATGGTACTGGATGGTGAAAGTGGATTGTCACTAGGGATGGAAAATACAAACAGAGAGACATTTGTTGTTTGTTTGTAACTATGCTATACGGGTCATCAACAAAAGATGACCCCCGACCCCCCCCCCCCGAGGTCTGTGCCCTTTTTTCTTTGTATTAATTACAGAAAATAATGCTCATAAAACCAATTAATTCAGACACCAAGTTAGTTTTGTTCAGTTTCTCCAATACAACCTTTGCGGGTTTGGTGTGTTGGTGGTTTTTTTGATTGCTTGCTTTTATGTATTTCATTCAAATACAAAGCAAAGATAGAAAAACAAAAATGAAAAACCCACTTCTTTAAAGATTCAAAGTTCTGTTCATTAAAGCAAGCCCTGTAGCTCTATTAATCTATACTTCTAGGTCACTGAGACACTAGAAAAATCAGATAATACAGGAGCTGGACTGTCCTGATAACTGAAAAGACAAAAATGACATTTTTTAAAATGAAATCTTTTTATGTTTTCTTTGTACACAATGAAGAATTTTTCCAAAGGCACAAACCTATTTTATATCCTTTTGTTTGGGACTCTTTCAGGACAAGGTTAAATTTATATAGGAATATACAATTCATCCACAATCATATTACCACACTGAAGCTTCAAATGCAAGACCCTGGGACAAACTTCCCAGCTGGGTGGAAAGGATATATTCAGGATCACTTGGTTAGGAGTGGCTGGGATGTTTCAGATGTAAAAAGTCACTCCCTGCCAGAAGAATTAGGCAATTTTAAAAGCCAGAATATGGAAAAAACTTAAGCAGGAAACTAAACATCAGGAAGTATGGAAGCTAGCGGAGTACATGAAACAGAGATAAATCTGACACACAACTTGCTCTTACTACTGATATGATCAGAAGGGAAGAATCTACTGTACTCCAGCAGTAAAAAAACAAGACACCTCACCAATAAAAGAAAGATGCACCCAGAATACCAAAACACTGAGCAAACCGAAAAAAATGATTTCAGTGTCAAGTAATAAGGTCGAGTGAACTAAAACACTGAGTGTAGAAAGCTACAATTCAGCCACAGGCAATGGGGAAGGATGAGTGCATGAGCGTTTGTGGGAGCCAGCAAGAAAGACACCCATTATCTATGACCACATCCCACAGAAAAGATTACGACAATGTAATTCTCTAACCAGGCTCCTTTTGGACATATCTATCAAACAAGGAAGCCACTCCCATTGAACCAGTGAGCAGAACAAGGTGGCTCTCTCTCTCAATCAGCTTAAGCTGTTATTGGCTGAATGATCAGAAGCCTTGCCTTCTGTAAGAATGGATGAAATATAGATACCACAAAAAATCATTCAGGTTATGTAGACTTTATGTGACTGGAGGGACAGTATCTAAACCTGGGCATGCAGAGGAAGGGTTGGACATTTCTGTATCTTAATCCCAAGCAAGATGGCGGGGAACAGTGAGATGGAATGACAAGATGGGATTGCAGGTCAGCATATTGAACAGAAAAAGAAAAAGGGAGGAGGGCAGGAAGGGGAGAAGTGCGAGCAGAGGCCTGAGCCAGTGAAAGGATGAGACAAATACACAAACTGCTTCCCCAATTAGCAGAAATTAACCAGGCTTAATACTAAGCCTAAGAAAATACAATATCCCAAGAGTTAACTTCTCTGCTTTCAACTTCCTCAGTGACATGAGATGTCTGCAATTTCATTTACTGTTTTGCTAAAATGACCAAATCAAAACAATACACTTGAGTTCAATCCAGGGAAGCAGGTGCATAGGAAACAAAACAAGACCTTGACAGCAAGCTGCTCTTTCAAAAAAACCTGCTGCAAAGGTCCATTGTTGTAACATTTAGCCACGCACTGCTTAGCTTCCGTGTATGAATGATGAAATCAAATAATGACATCAAATCTATTGTTAATCTATCTACACACTAAGTCACAACATGCTACAACAGTACACAAGCCTTTGCATACCAAGCTGGTAATCTTAATGAATCAGGTGTGCAACAGTCTGCCAGCTGAACAAAACTGGAGGCTAGCCCAAAATAAAGTTGTAAAAGAGACAAGAGCTAAAAATAAAGGAACAGGAGATTCCTAAATAAAACCTGCAGAAAGTTAGGTTAATATATTAGGCAAACAATATGGTAAGAACTAAGTGGCATGAGGCAAAATGGATATAAAGCATTTCCAAATCTACCGTTGGTAACTACATTCAAGGAACCTAGCATTCAACTGACCAGGCTCTAAAGTTCTGGCTCTGTGAAACAGCACAATAAAGAAAGGTGTTCTATGTTTGGGAAATGATACATATATCTTCATTCTCCACAGACACTGCTAACATATGTGACCATCTAACAGGAGCCATTTAATATGATATACCACATGAGCAAGCAATCCCTAGGGACACTGACATCACAGTGGATTCCACAAAGAGAAATAATGTGCCATTTTTGTTCTAAGCAATTAAGCTACTGCATTTCTTTCCTTTCCTTTTATTTAACAAGCAATCATTTGGATCACAGCCTGGCACATCTTGCAGCAAAATGATATGCAGCCAAACATAACAGCACTGCACAGCTGTCACTGCTGCAGGATTCCCAACATTTGTTCACATGTTTGTTAAACAGTACATTTAGATTTGCAGAAGGGCTCAGGAGTTAATAATCCATGTCTGCATTCACAAGTTTGCCATTAGATGTAATCCTATAAACAGAGTTCACTAAATTCATCAGTGACAATGTCAGATTTTGACAAGATTCTTTGGGTAGATGCGATATCTTTTATTAGACAACCTGAATAGTTGGAGCAATGTTCTTAGCAAGCTTTTGGGTGCAGTCACCCTTCATTAGGCATACGGAGTCTCTGCTGGTCTGAAACTCCAAGGAAGCTAAGTGTGGAGGAATGTCAATTGGTCTAATAAAAGATATCACATCTACTCAAAGAACTTTGCCTGCTTATGTCCTTAGACCAACATGCCTACCAACAAAAACCCAGATTTTGAAACTGTACTCTCAGACATCCAGCTAGCTGGGGAGCAGAGGAATAAGTGGTAAGGAACAAGAGGAACTCCAGAAGAATAGTCTTAAACCAGAACTGTTGCTAAGAGGCAACACTGGTTATATTAACAGCTATAATGAGGATGTATTTTAGTATAATGTGATGCTGGAACACTGCATCCTTCTGACCCTAAGTGAAAGGAAGAGAATGGATCTAGCCAGTACACCCAAGAGCCCAGGACCTGCCAAAGTAGGAGTCATGTTTTGTTTCACACCCTTCTTCTGGACTGCATCCACAGCCCGACTTGGGAACTACTGGGTTTGTCTTTTGTGGAAATCAATG